CCGACGAGGGGCTCTGGTCGCCTGACATGGTGCTGTCAGATCCTCTCGTCTTTGGTGTCCAGAGTTGCCGTACTCGACCGCCCTGCAGGGCCCCGAGCGGTTTTGCTTTTGGTTTGTCCCTGGTTTATATCAAGATCACCAGCGAAACATAAAAGGGTCTCGGGAGTTGACCTTCCTCCCGGCCCAGCGGTTCTCCTTTCCTCACGAGGGGCTCTGGTCGCCTGACATGGTGCTGTCAGATCCTCTCGTCTTTGGTGTCCAGAGTTGCCGTACTCGACCGCCCTGCAGGGCCCCGAGCGGTTTTGCTTTTGGTTTGTCCCTGGTTTATATCAAGATCACCAGCGAAACATAAAAGGGTCTCGGGAGTTGACCTTCCTCCCGGCCCAGCGGTTCTCCTTTCCTCACGGTCACAAGTGTAAGGTGTTAAAATGGGGAAGGGTAACCAAACCCTGCGAGGTTTTCTGTGCTGCACATTGCCACCACGTAGCGTGTGGGTTCCCGGTGCCCACCACAGGCACAGGGAGGCACGTGTGATGGCCCAAATGTCAGAGAGGGTCAGTCCTGGGAACCCGCTGTTTTTCAGCCTTTTTATTTCACAGGACCTCGTGGATAGTGAGGAAAGGACACTTCAGGGACATCTTGGCTTCTCTTTTTAATCAGTAAAGATCAGGTGAAGCTTTGAATGTCAGCGTGTTACTGCTGGCTTTCCATTCCTGTCCCCGCCTTTGCCTTGCCTGCATGCAGAGGGCGGACACCTGACTCTTTGCAGTGGCCTGGGAGTCTTGGTTTGAGAAGCCCTGTATCCATGACCTTTCTGTGAATTCACCTTTGCAATGAAGCTGCAGTGTGCTTGCTTTGAGCTCTTGAAAATATAAATGAAAAATAAAAATGTGACTTCTTTACCTAAGATACCGCCCCGTGTACTTAAAGCAGCTGATCATAACAGTTATGGCTTCAGTGGTAAAGCCGGAGTACTGAGTAAGATTACTTTTTTTCTGGTTTTTGTCTTGTAGATTCAGTGCCAAGTTGATAGCACCATTGGGATGCTCAGTCCCTAGGCAAAAGCACACTCTTCCTGACCTGCCGTATGACTATGGCGCTCTGGAGCCTCACATTAATGCAGAGATCATGCAGCTGCACCACAGCAAACATCATGCCACCTACGTGAACAACCTGAATGTTACAGAGGAGAAATACAAAGAGGCACTGGCAAAAGGTTTGTGTATCCACAGATGTGACAGAAACTAGTTGATATAGGTGATGTAGGAGAAGAAAAATGGTTAGCCCTTCATTCCGAGGGAAGTAGTTTCTTTTAAAGGTTTTGAATTATCTAACTCAAGCTTGCTTTTTTTTTCAATAAAGTGAAATGCTGTTAGAAACAAGCTTTCATTGTAAGCTTCAGTGGTGCTCATAATGGGAAACTAGGTGTAACTAAGATGCATGAATTCTGTTCTCCCTTGTACTGTAAAGCTAGAAGAAAATTCATTGATTGTTGTGGTTTTAGGACATATTTACATTAGCAACTTGAACCAAATACTAAGTCAATAGGAAACTGCAGTCATTTTACTAAACAAATACCTTGTGATGAAAGGTTAG